CAACAATTAGAAATTCTTCGGGAAATGCGTGCAAATAATGAAGCAACCAACGCACGTATTAATGACCTCACTAACAAAATGGCCGCTATGCGAGCCCGTTTTCCTCCTACCGATCCGGATGCTTGATTTTGTGTTTAGCTTTAAAACTTTGAACCAAATGAATATTGTTTCAACATTTTGAATTGTTTGATTTTGTGGATTGTTGGATTTTGGATTTAAAATGGTGTGAACTTATCTGTTAGGTGTGTTTTATTCGTTATTGCATCATTTACATCATTATTAGCAATATGACCAATTTTGCCATATCACATTTTTTATGAATATTGATTACGGAACTAATGGCTAACGTTTCTCTTAATTGTGATCTTAGCAGCTTATGCATACATATACCTAATCAATTGGCTTAATATTTTTCACGTTTATTTGAATCTTTTTGATTTAACAAAAAGGGGGAGAAGTGTGTTTTAAGTGTGTGTTTTTAAGTGTTTTTTAAGTGTATGTTTTAAGTGTGTGTTTTTAAAATGATAAATGGGAGAAGTGTTAAAGTAAGGGGGAGTAATTTCAAAACTTGATTCCAAAATCTTAAAATTACTAAAATGTTTTGTTATATCAAAAAGGGGGAGATTGTTGAAAACATTTTGATATTTCGATATAACAAATTAAGTTAAATGAGTTTTAAGATTTTCCAAAATGATTTTTTAAGTATATTCGATATAATTATTCGAATATCAAAACATTACTCAAAATATTTCAAAAATCATTTTTTAATCCTTACTTAAGTGTAAAATTAAGTTTTAATCTTAAAACAATTTCAAAATAATCTTTCAAAGTATTTCGAACCATTTCAAAGCCAAAATTTCCAGATTGCTCAGAGGGAACCGATTTCCCCCCATAGGGGGTACCGATTCCCCCCTGAATGGTTTGGCTCCGAGATTTCCAGAATGCTCGGAGGGAACCGGTTCCCCCATAGGGGGTACCGATTCCCCCCTGTTCAACGGTCGAAATATTTGAATTTTACACTTAGGGAACCGATTCCCCATAGAGGGTACCGATTCCCCCACGCTCCAAACTGTTTTATTAATTGTTTTCACACTAAAACGGCTATATGATCTTCACTAATCATCCCCAACGTTCAGAAGAGATTCAAGGTGTATTTAAACAAGTTCTGAAACCCTTGATCAATAACAAATCATAGAGAAACAAGAGAGAAAGCATCAAACACAAAGTTTGTGCAATTCAAGCCAATTTTCATTCAATATTCATTTTCCTTTCAAAGAACACTTATTGTGCTCATTTGTAATTTTCTTTGAGTGTTCTTTTCTTGTTCTAGAATTGTGCAAACATCTTACCTTGTGAGGTTTTCTTGTAAGTTTGCAAATTTGTAATCTTCTCTTTGGGAAAAAGAGTGTTCTCAAGAGTTGGGGTATACTCTTGAGGGAATTGTAAGGTTATCTCTTTGGCCTCAAAAGAAAGAACAAATTAGTGAATTTGTTGGAAAATCCTTAGTGTGGATAGCTAAGGTAGTGGACGTAGACTTTGTTTGAGAAAGTCGAACCACTGTAAATCGCTGTGCAATTACTTTCAATTTTCTGCAAAAGCTTCCACAAAAATTTTAATTGCCAATTCACCTCCCTCTTGGCCGATTCCGTCAATCGATTAACTCAACAATTTGATTTTAGGGTTAAATTATTTTAATTTATTAAAATTAGGACCAAATTGATAAGATATATAAGTAACAATGACCAATTATTTTAACTGTCACATCAGCTTCTCCGTTAAATATTAATGACAAGTAGCTTAATTGAATGCATTTTAATAGTTGATGACCTGATTGAATTTTTTTAAAAAAATATTGGTTAAAATGAAAAAGGACAATAGTTAGGTGGTCACTGATATAGTTTATCTTTTATTTTAAATAATTTATCTTTAAATTTTTAACTAATTTATAATTATATGTTTAATCTTTTAAAATTAAAAATTTTATAAATTAAATTAATGGTGCTCGTCGTTAGTAATGTTTAGCGCTGCTCGTCGATTGCTGTAGATTTTTCCCTTAAATTATCTTATTTTCTCACATTTTTGTGATATGATGTAAGATTTAGTTTTAAAGCACGTAATTAAATTATCATTTATAAATAAATTTTACTAACAAACCTATTCGAGAATTTTTTTTTAAAATAATTTAAATTATAAATTTTAAAATGTCAATACTCTACAGTTAAATTTTTATTAAGAAATTAGTTGTTAGGGGAATTTTATAAATGGACGAGGACGACCAGCCGTCTATCGTGTTAATATACAGATGTATATATATATATATATATATATATATATACACACAGAATATTTTCACAGATGATTGTAGAAAACGAAAAAGGCTACCTTTATCATTACCTTAACCTTCATAATTCAGCGGCGGCCTACAACTCAAAGACGAACAAGGGAATTCAATGCTACGTGGCGAAATCAGGAAGGCATTCCGGCACCGCATCGACTGCCTGTAAAGCCGACTGGTGTGAATGGGGAAAGAGGCACGTGACGAGCACGATCTGATAGAAGTGGAGAGCCGTCGAGGCCATAAAAACAGAAGCCACGTTCTGCTGGGGACGCGTTGGAGTAAAGTATGGTCTGTGGGCTCTGGATGGACCAATAAGACTATAACACGTGTTGTGATTAAAACTGCGGCAGCTTTTGGTGGGCGTTGACCGCTTGGAGATTAAGTCCAATAAGTATGCCGAGCTAAAAGAGTGATAAAAACTGGAACACTCGATTCAAGTTCGGCAACAAAGAGTAGAGCACAAAAGGAACTCTTATCCACAATCCGGTTGGTTTATGATAAGATAACTTTCGCTTTTTAAATATTTTAAAATTTTATTTTCAATTCGGATAACATTCAAGGTTAAATAATAAAATGTAATAATTATTTTGAAGACAATGAAATGATCAAATTAACACATGTTTAATACTTTCACACACACAATGTTATTTTAAGAAAAATATTAAAAGATGTTTATCATAGATGTTTCTAATATGTTAATTCTGATTTCATAATCCAATAAGATTAACTTCTACAACATGATAATATTAATATATTATACGGGGCATTTTTCTCATTTTTTTAAAGGGTAACAATTAACTTATTCAGTACTTTAATCGGAGAGTAGCACAAATCTAACAAAAATGATGTGACAAAGGAAACGCATGTGTTAAAGAAACTCATAATTAAAAACTCCTCGTATTTATTCTCTATATTTATAATAATTATAACTTTATTTAAAACATTAAAACCTTTTACTGTTAACCCATCAAGTGATTGTGTGGGATACATTATCTACAATGCTACCTAAAATGTCTTTATCCATACCATGACACCAAGTTGCAAACATCAATCGGGAGTTCAAAGTTTATGACTAAATTGGCTTCAATTAAGGCTTTCAGGCCGTCATGGATCTGACTTTTCTATGACTTGTTTGGTCGGGTGCTAGATAACTGCGTTAATTTGTAAGAAAATAGAAAACCATGGCAGCTTTCAGATCAATCGAGTAGGTAGGCTCCAACATTCAACCAAACAATATATAGCGGGTATCATTTGATGATCTCCCTTGAAGGCTGTAAACCGACAATGGCATAATCGTAAATATCTGGTCATGGTAGGCGTAATTATTGGCTCAGCTGTCGATATTTGACCCAGTAAGACCTTTCTTTTTGCGTCATCCGAAGTGAGGATTAGGAAGCATCGCACGAATTGTGGGAAAATAATTTATTACATTCAAATTCCATCTATAATATTATTGTTTTATTTTTTTAGTACAATGATAGGCACCAGATTTAATTAATAACTTATTTCCTTATTATAATTTGTATTACATGATAAATATTTTTAGGGTAAACTACATGTTTGATAACTGAATTTTACTCTATTTATTATTTCACTTATCATATTTATAATTTTTTAATTTACTCACTGAACTTTATAGATTGAATTTTTTTTGTCACTCCGATGTTAACAAATTAATGACGTTATGACGTGGTCGTAATTTATTCAAAACAATGTCGTTTTAATCTAAATTTTTTTTTCAAGAATTCAAAACGACATCATTTTGATATAAGTTGCCATGTCTTAACTTCATTTAATTATTCAACGACGGAGTGACAAAAAATTTAATTTATCAAGTTCAGTGAGTAAATTAAAAATAATTGAAAGTATAATGAGTGAAATATAAGAAAATAAAGTTCAATTACCAAACATGAACATATTTTTAGAAACTGAACACATTTCATAATTCAAATTAGAAAATACAAAACAAAGTATTCTTTGATTATGTTAATATGTTATACCAACGGCATTTAAAAATTTGTTTTCCAACTATTTTATTTTATTCTAAAATTTACTTTCTAACATCAATAATTTTGCCTCTAATTCTTCTATGAAGGAAATGATAGATTTTTAAAACTATAAGATAATTTCTTATTATTTATCATTAAATATTAATTGTTGATAATATACTTTTATACTATTTATGTTGATTAATTAAAAATATTATGTAACATATAATATCTTCATTTCTAATTCATGTCAACGTATGCTTAACTCGTGGCGCTTTGTAATTGAATTTGAAGCTTTTCTTTGTTTCCTTAAAATCTAATCTGTGATTTTTTATAATATTATGAAGAAGAAAAAAACGTAAAATCTAAATTTAAAAACTTGTGTGAATGTGACAGCGACTGTAAAAACAAGTTTGATGTAATTGTAAGAAATAGTAAAAAAACTGGAACGTTCCGCTTCCGGTGACACTCGAAAAGGACCACAGTTTCCTATTTCCTTCGCACCTACACAAACAGAACCCAGTCCAAATCTTTCCTCTGAAATATCTATTTCGGATAAGCCTCTTTTTTATTATACTTATTTCCCACGAAAATATATATATATATATATATTTTTTTTTTTGGAAAATCCTTGTCCTTCTGTCTTAAGCGCCCGCCTTATAAATACCCAATCTCTTATCTCTCTTCGGTCAAGAAAATACCAAACTTGAAAAACCAGCAGATTTTTTTTTAAGGAAATCATTTTTTTCTTATTTTGAAGAAAATGGTTGATCTTGATTGGAAAACAAAGATGGTTTCTTCTAACATCCCAAACAAATCCCCAAAGCTCTCTAACAAACTCCAGGTTCCAATTCCGGCGCCGCTTCGTATCTCGAATGTTTCCTCTCCACTTTCAACTTCCCCCTCCACTTCCAAAACTTACGACTATTATCTCCGGCTCCCGGAGCTGAGGAAGTTATGGGAGGCGAAAGAGTTTCCCTCTTGGCAAAACGAGGTAGTTTTGAAGCCGGCTTTGCACGCGTTGGAGATTACCTTGCGGTTTATTTCGATCGTTTTGTCTGATCCCAGACTGTATTTAAACCGCCGCGAGTGGACGCGTCGACTCCAGTCATTTACCACGAGTCAGATCGAAGTCATCGCTATGCTATGTGAAGATGAAAACGACGATGAGACCGCCGTGGGAACGGCACCGATCGTCGATCTGACATCGTCGAACGGTGTTCTAACACGAGAGAGCAGCTCCGCCGAAGTGTGGAAGATCCGCGGAGAAACGACGGTGGTGAACCGAACGAGCGAAGCCAGCTTGTTGCCTCGGCTCGCCACGTGGCAGAAATCCGAAGACGTTGCACAGACAATCCTCTACTCCATCGAGTGCGAGATGAGGCGGTGTCCCTACACGTTAGGCTTGGGAGAGCCAAACCTCTCTGGCAAACCGAACCTTGATTACGACGCCGTTTGCAAGCCGAATGAACTCCACGCGCTCAAGTCCAGTCCGTACAATCACATCGACAGCCCCGAGAACGCAACGCTTTACACCACGCATCAGATTCTCGAATCGTGGATCCAAACGGGTAAACAATTGTTGAAACGCATCGCTTTGAGGATCGATACCGGAAGTTTCGAGACCGCCGCCGGCGATTGTTATTTACTGGAAAAGATTTGGAAGCTTCTGGAAGAAATCGAAGATCTCCATCTCTTAATGGATCCCGATGATTTCCTTCACCTGAAAAGCCAGTTGCAGAAAAAATCGGTGAACGAAACGGAGGCGCTTTGTTTCAGATCGAAAGGGCTAGTCGAAATTACGAAACTGTCCAAGGAGTTAAAAAACAAGGTACCGTTCATTTTGGGAGTAGAGGTGGATCCTAAAGGTGGGCCCAGGATTCAAGAAGCTGCTATGAGGTTGTACACCGAGAAAAAGGAGGGTAGTAAGGTCTTTCTGGTACAAGCATTGCAAGCAATCGAAGCGGCCTTGAAACGCTTCTTTTTTGGGTACAAGCAAGTGTTGATGATCGTTATGGGGAGTTTGGAAGCGAAAGCCAACAGACCCGTGGCGAGTTCGGACCCAGGGGACTCATTGAGTCAAATATTCCTGGAGCCTACTTATTTCCCTAGTTTGGATGCGGCTAAGACGTTTTTGGGCGAGTTTTGGAGTCAGAGACAGGGTGGGTATCGGTCAACCAAGAGATGACCACTCGATCGTTCGATTAAGAGATTATAGAAATGGAAAAATAATAATAAGAGGAATTAAAATTATTCTTTTAAATGATGACTGTATATACTCTAAAATTTTTGTACAAATATTTTTTTTAAAATGGGAATTATGATATATAAAATTAAACCAATTTCTTTTTTAAAAAATCTATACTCTGAATTTATATGCTATTTTAATTGCAAATATAATCATAAATTAATATATCTGATACTAAATCCCAAACACGTTGAGCTTTTTCTCTAAATCCTCATTGGAAGATCACCGGCCATGTGTGGGTGGTCAAAATTTTGATTATGTTTTATCATTAGAAATAAATGGATGTAAAAAGTTTGAAATTTTAAAGGATAACACGATTGGATTGGTATTATTTATATAAAATGAATATAAAGGTAAAAAAAAATAAGAGGAATTAAAATTATTCTTTTAAATTGTATTTTGTCAAGCAAATAAGAATTCAATTTAAAAGGAAATGGATTAGATGATATTTTTGGGTGTTGCGTCGGATAAAATAATTTGGTCCGACCGAAGGGTGAGTTCTCAGTAAACAAGTCGGATTCTTGTGTTGATCCATGGCAATATTGTCTCAGTTTCCCAAGTGATATAAGTGCAACATCTTATGGTTTTATGTGGAGTCAAGATTCTCTGGTGCAATAAGCCCAGGGGATGCATAAAGTGAACATTGATGGTCTTTAATTATGTTGTTTAGGCGTCTGTTTGGTTTTTCTATGCTTCCACTTTGTTTGGTGGTTTGAGCTTTAATAAGATTTGTAACTTTGCCTTCAAGAATGGGTAGAATCGGTGATGGAACTGTACCTTGTTTTTTTCCCATTTATGCTCGGTTGCCAATTCGTAGTAATCTAATTTTTCTAATGTGAGGTTTTGAAGTTATTACGTAGGCCACAAACTAAGCAATGCAACCTCTTTTGTTGTCAGATTTCTTCCAGTCCAATCGAAAATAAATAATTGTAAGTACGTGTGGGTTTTTTAGGGTTACAAAAAAGGAAAGTTTAAATTACTGTAAAGAAAAGCCTCTAGAGAAAGACACGCCTTTGCTATCAACTTCTAACATGCGAGAAACTTTAGTCGATGGTGAACATAAGATCACAAGATCATCTTCCAGGGAGCACCCAAATTTGGAGAGTATATCAGCACATAAATTGCCTTCGCGCTAGATATGTTGAAATATTAATATCCAGTTATGAGCTTAAAAACTTCTGATGTCCTCAATTAGGGACTCCAACGAGTGTATATATATTTAATAATTCAAATTTAAAAGATATTATTATTCGTTTAAATTTAGATATTAAAAGAGTTTTAGTTAGAGTAAAACTCTCTCGAAATTCTCCTATGAATACTGAGCAAATATCTCAGGTTTTAGAGATTTCAAAAATTAGGAAGTTTTCTTCTCTTGAAACTATTTTATCTCATTCTCAGAAAATATTATTTTCCCTTAGTTTTTCCGATGATAGTCGAAGGCAAGAAAAGTTTGTGATCTCTACTATTGTGATACTGTAACTAATCATCTAGTTGTTGTATCCTGGGAGACAAACGACCAAAGGATCTCGAGCACCAAGGAGTGGTTGAAAATTTGTCTTAAGGAAACTATACAGCGACATGCCTCAACTATTTTCAATCACAAGATCAAATATAAAGTGTATTTTATTTCCTTTTAATTCTCTTTCATTTTTAAAGAATTTAATTCTTTCTTTTACTTTTTTCTTAGGTTACAATTAGGTTCAGACTGTTACTATCGAGTATTCTTTGGTGCTCGAGATCCTTTGGTCGTCTATCTCACAGAATACAACAACTAGATGATCATCTACAGTAGGACAACAGTAGAGATCACAAACTTTTCTTGCCTTCGACTATCACATGAAAAACTAAGGGAAAAGAATATTTTCTGAGAAGAAGAAAAATATTTTCAAGAGAAGAAAACTTTTGAGATCTGTAAAACATGAGAGATTTACTTGGTATTTATAGGAGAATTTCAATAGAATTTTACTCCAACTAAACATCTTTTAATATCTATATTTAAACAGATAATAATATCTTTTAAGTTTAAAATATTAAACATATATACACTCCTTTTATTATTCAAACTAAATAAATATTAATTTAATTAAAATATACAAAAGTATATAATTATCTTTAATATTCAAAGTTAAATTAAATAATATCTTTTAATTTATAATATTTAAAAGTATTTAAAAGTACTATGAATTTAATATAAATATTAAATCCATCAAAGTAATTTACCTTTTTTCGAACAATATATTGTTCAATTGATGCAGGCATCTCATCAGTGTAAAGTTTAAGGTACTTCTTGTGGAAGAAGGCAGCCTTTGAGAGCACCATGTTATATGTACCAGTCAACCAAACAGACCACCATCCACCATATATGTACTTGTACTTAACTTCCTGCATAAAGATGACCATGAAACCAAGTAAATGTTAATATCAAATCACCAGCAATAAATTACTGCAACACAGATGCATACCTTTTCATTCACCCAATGCATACGGGGAACGTATCCCACCATCGTATGGGGGCACTTTGCCAAACCGTGAGAGCGAATTCTACCGAAGAACAAGGAAATATAACATCAACGTCAACTGAAAAAACCTCATCCGTCTTCAAATCCTTAATTTCTTTAAATGTGTTGTTCAAGCTGTCTTTGTTATTGATCTCGTCTATCAATTCGATTGGCGACCGTTTCTGGAGTTCAGATCCACATGGTGAAGAAATCTTAAAAGAGAATCTGATGGAGGATCAGGCTCACTCCATACTATTATGCATAGAGCCAATCCTAGGGCACGATGCATAGTGTGAAATTGACTTCTTCAAGAGATCATATCTTCTTCAAGTATTCATTACAATCGCATATCTTCCCTGTACAAAAATGAGGGTAGATGATGTTTACTTTACTAATCAAAATCCCTCCACTAATATTTTTTAATGACTGCATATGAATATTGTTTAGCTATGTATTTATTTATATATGCACTGCATTTTATCTATATTTTTAATTTTCTGACTGCCGGAGGTCTTCCACGGAAGCTACTCTCAACCTGGCGTTGGGAGCAACCTACTACCCTACCTCCCCCTTACCCCATACATATGGGAATTGGGTTTTGTTGTTGTTGTTGTTGTATAGCGTTAAAGTTCATACAGATTTATTTGTTGTCTTAATATAATTCATTAATAATGAACTATCATCGTATCAAATATAAATCATTTATTAATTATTTAAACATGACGAAGACTTACCAAGTCCACAGCTTTAAGTTTAATTTTGAATACCAAACAGTTATCAGTATTTTGGTGATAGTTTCTAAACGCACCGTGGAGAAGAAGAGCGGTCGAGCGAAGCGACGTCAGCAGTCCATCCCAACAAGGAAGGAGAACTGCCGCGGTCCCGGTTCGCGAATGCGAGTAGAGTCAACGCCACGCAACCAGAGTAGGATCTTGATCTTCACCGTTGGATGAAAAGAAGAAAAAAAACCCAGATGGTTAATCACAGTCGCTAAGTGGAATAATCAAGTCAGTAGGACAATTCTCTCGATAGTTTTTTTTTAGTCGATACTTAATAGTTCCTTGTAAAGTTGCAAAGTTTATGCGCATCCATCATCCCCGAGTGCCAACAATTGGTATAATGGAAAAAGACAGAATCTACTATTGAATCATCCAATCTGTAGGGCTTACTTACGATCTTGGAATCACGGCTATGAAGATCGACACCATCTACAAATCCGTTGGTATAGTGCCTCTGTCACAGCCTAAATTTAAACCTAACAAGCATACGACTTTAAACACCAGAATGTGAACCATGCATCTAAATCAATCTTCGTTCATGAATGAATAAGATCTTGAAAATATGTCTTGGTTTAGATGGAATTGGCGACAAGAAAAAGTTTATCTCCAACTCAAAATTTACTTTAGATTCTTGGATCCCAACTCAATTAGAATTCTATTTACTTGGTTTGAGTCTCTGGGACGTGATTTTCTTATGACAGCAACTATAATTCAAATAAATGGATAATATGGGCCCAGTAAAAAAGAGGCCAAAATTGGGTCCAGTATGTATAATCGGGCAAACAATGATGTACAAGATTGATAAGAATATGTCGGACCATATAGTAGAATAACGATAACAAGGTCGAATCATTGTATCTTTCGGAACCCTAAACTCTACTATCTTTCTGTTATTTCCCTCTAGACAAACTAGAAGATCGGCGAGGCAATATGCCGGCCGGCGATCGCACCGTTTTGCAGTTCAGTACGCAGTCCACAGCGAACCTATCGGCGAAAGTTCACCCCCTCGTCATCTTTAATATCTGCGATTGCTATGTCAGGCGTCCCGACCAAGCTGAGCGTGTAATCGGCACGCTCCTCGGCTCTGTCCTCCCTGACGGCACCGTTGATATACGTAACTCGTATGCTGTTCCTCACACCGAATCTGCCGAACAGGTGCCCTCATTTTGATCTTCTAAGTTTTGTATTTTTAATTTTTTTCACTTTTTTTTGAGATCTGTCTAGCTTATAGGTAAATTTGGACTCTCTGTTTATTAGGTGAAATTTTTAGAGCAATTTGTTAAAAAACAGATTTATGATACCGATATCAGGGTTTTTTTTTAATTATTTAGTTTTTCTTAATTTTTCTTTGCAAATTGAATTTGTTTCTTTATACTTAAACAGTGTTGGAAGTATAAATGATTGATGATAGGATTTGCGAAAAAAATACAAATCAGATTGCTTTGAAACAATTATTTGTTTCATTCACTATTGAATTGCATGTGAGGTTCGAGTTCTCACAGCTTATTTGCTCTGTTTTTTTGTTTTGGAATTGCTGATTATCATTCCAAACTCCAAATAAGAGCACAATTTTCTACGGGGAATAGATAATTAAGTCTTAACATTGTGCGACTGATGTGGATAATTTTTTTTGCAGCCACTGTTTGGTTCAGATTCATGATTTTGAATAGTTACTTGGGAAAAAATCGACTTCCTAAATGACGCCAATAAGGAAATGTTTTGATGGGCTTAGAGCTGTCCAGTGTTTTCTTCCCCCAAGTTGCTTTTATAATTTTTTTATTCCTGCAGGTTGCTTTGGACATCGAATACCATCATAATATGCTAGTATCCCAGCAAAAAGTGAATCCAAAAGAAGTCATTGTCGGATGGTAATTTCTCAACTCCATACCTACTATTTGAATGTGTTTCTTCAGCATGTTATTTTCCCCACTGTCAATACCCCTCCAGATTCGAGTTTGTATATTTCTGTTATACTTCCAGCATGGCCATTAATTAATTTTTTGCAACTTTTCCAGGTATTCTACTGGTCTTGGGGTCACAGGAGGTAGTGCATTGATCCATGATTTTTATTCCAGGGAAGTTCCTAACCCTGTTCATCTGACAGTAGATACGGGATTTAGGAATGGAGAGGGTACCATAAAGGCTTATGTTTCAGTCAATTTAGCTCTTGGAGACCGACAACTTGCTGCTCAATTCCAAGAAATTCCTCTAGATCTACGTATGGTTGAAGCTGAACGACTTGGATGTATGCATCACTTAAACCCTATATAGATACTACAGTGTTTCTGTTATGAATTTGTGATATTCTGTATTCTATCTGTCTCTCTGTTTGCGTGTATAAACAAATGTGCATGCATGTAGATGTTCTCACCCAGGCTCAATGCTTGTCTGAGAAGAGGAATGTTTATCATTAGTTACTTTGTAGTTATGCCCCTGCTTGATTTGTCCATCTTTCTGTTATGGTTGGAGAAGAAGAGAGAAGAGGAAGCATCGAAGAAGAGAGATGAGGAAGCAGGAGCAATTGGGAAATGGGGATCGAGGGTTAGGGATTGAAGATAGGATTGGGAATTAAAATCACGTGAGAGGCAAAGGAAACTTACCACAGCAGAGGAGCAGGCCTGGAAGGGAATGGCGTGATGGAGCAGCCCAACACGAAGGCCCAGTATCTGAGAAAGAATAGAAAGAGAAGAATCATTCTGTTAGATAGTTGTTATGACACTGGACAGCTGGCAGGAATTCTATGGTTCATGTAATTAAATAATACTAGGCTTGATTGTAAAAATTTGCTTAGAAAATGAATGATGCAAACTTCTTCTGAAATCTCTCAATTCTTCTTCTAAAACCTATTTTCTTTCGACATTCTTCTCTACAAAAATCCAGTCTATAACAAATTGGTATTCAGAGCCTCGATTCTGGCATGCCAAAGAAGAATCAAACTATGGCTGAAGCTGATTTATCAGGGTTGCAAAAGCAGATTGAAGAATTAACTGCTTTAGTTAAACAAGGACGGGATGAAACCAATCCACCCAAATGGTGGGAAAATCAAGAGAATCGAATCAATGCACTGGAGTCTAGAATGGAAACGAATCAGGGCTATGTGGAAGAGCTATTGAAGATATTGACAGGCAGAACTGGTGACCAAGTGCAATCTGTGGGTGAGCAGGTACAATCTCTTGATACTTCTAAAAATAAGGAAAAGACTCCTGTTATGGTGACTGTGCTGAATGATAAATCTAGGTTTACTTATAAAACTGATGAACCTGGGATATTAAAGTCTAAACCTGATGATTGTCTAGCCATTAAGAACAGTTATAGGCCTGAGAATCAAATGGGTGAAAATAGTGAATCTAGACCTATTATAGTGGGACTAGATGCTGAAAAAAAGGGGCCAGGGAGTTCATTTAGTTCTGGGATTATGTGGAATAGACCTAAAATAGAACTTCCTTCCTTTGAAGGGGTTAATCCGAGAGGGTGGGTGCAGAAGTGCCTGAAATACTTTTCTATTTGTGGGGTTCCTGTTGAGCAGAGAGTGGAACTAGCTACAATGTATTTAACAGGCAAGGCAGAAGTTTGGTTTGATGGTTACATTATGCAGAAACACCATGTGACATGGCATGAATTTGAAGCTGATCTTTGTCATAGATTCAGTGATAGAACTTTTTCTGATATTGTTGAGGAGTTCACTAAATTGACTCAGAAAGGGTCTGTGGAAGATTATCAAGAGAAGTTTGAGGAGTTACAACCTCATATGTTGTTGCAGAATCCTACTTTGACTGAGGAATTTTTTGTGTCACTTTTTATTAGTGGACTTAGAGATGATATCAAGCATAGGGTCAAGGCTTTAGATCCTAAAAACTTATCTGAAGCATCTAAACAGGCCAAACTGTATGAACTGTCTGTGGAGTTTGAGAACAGAAGAGTGAGGTCTTCTTTTAAAAACCCACCCTACCCAAACCCCTTATATACATCTAAACCTACACTGCCAATACCTACAAAACCTACAGCAGTACCAAATCCAAAGCAAAATCTTATGGATTACAGAAGGCAAAATAACCTCTGCTTTAAATGTGGTGAAAAGTATTTGCCGGGCCATCAGTGTAAAACCAGGCAATTGAATATGATTACTGAAGAAGTTGATCCTTCTCTATTAGAGGTATGTCCTACTGATGCTGAGCAAATTCAACAACAAGAAGAGGAAAATCTGGAAATTTCTATGAATGCTATTACTGGCTGCATTGGCCATAATACATTGAGAATACAGGGCACTATTCAGGGAAAACCATGAATATCCTAATTGACAGTGGCAGTACACACAGTTTTTTAACTCCTACATGGGCTGATGCTGGCATACAGATTAATACTGCTTATCCTTTGGCTATTACTGTGGCTAATGGCCAACAGTTGTTCAGTTCTGCTAGATGCAACAAGGTTAAATGGGAAATGCAAGGACATACTTTTTCCCATGATTTTAGATTACTTAAATTGGGAGGCAGTGACATGGTATTGGGAGTTGATTGGATGAAGTTATTCAGTCCAATTTTGATGGACTTTAATAATATGACACTAAGTTTTGATCATGAAGGGGAACAGATTTGTATTCAGGGTCAACAACCCTCTACTGAATTATATCAAATATCAGGAGCTACTTTGCTTAAAATGAGTGCAAGGGATTCTGATATTATTGGTCATATTATCCTATTGACTATGACAGGACACTCTTCTTCTGTTCCTATAGAATTGCAACCTATATTGGATAAATACAGCAAGGTTTTTGCTGAACCAGAAGGCCTACCTCCTCAGAGGTCACATGACCATGCAATTCCACTAATACCTACTGCCACACCTGTTAATCTACGGCCTTATAGATTTCCTCATAATCAGAAGACTGAAGTTGAAAAACAGATAGCTGCTATGCTTTCTTCTTCTGTCATTCAGCCAAGCAGGAGCCCTTTTGCCTCTCCCTGCCTTCTTATTAAAAAGAAGGATGGCACTTGGAGGTTTTGTGTGGACTACAGACAACTAAACAGTTTGACCATCAAAGATAAGTTTCCTATTCCTATAGTGGAAGACTTATTGGATGAGTTAAATGGGGCAGTTTACTTTTCTAAGATTGATTTGAGATCAGGTTATTGGCAGATTAGAATTAAACCAGAAGATATTTACAAAACTGCCTTTAGAACTCATCAAGGGCATTATGAGTTTAAGGTAATGCCTTTTGGCCTTACTAATGCACCTGCTACATTTCAGGCTCTCATGAATGAGCTGTTCAGTTCCTTTCTTAGAAAATTTGTTTTAGTCTTCTTTGATGATATTTTGATTTATAGCAGCAGTATGCAACAACATGTTGAACATTTGAGGCTTGTTTTGGAAGTTTTGAAGGTGAACCAGTTATTTGCAAAGTTATCTAAGTGTTTTTTTGGCCAGACGACAGTGGAATATCTTGGTCATATTATCTCTGCTGCAGGAGTGTCTACTGATCCTAGCAAAGTGGAAGTTATGCAGAATTGGCCTCAGCCTAAAACCCTTAAATCTCTCAGAGGGTTTCTAGGTCTAACTGGATATTACAGAAGATTTATTAGGCACTATGGTATTATTAGCAAACCATTAACACAGATGTTAAAAAAGGATGGTTTTCATTGGAATTCTGCTGCTTACAGTGCTTTTGAAGATCTTAAGAAGGCTATGTGTTCTGCTCCAGTTTTAGCATTGCCTGATTTTTCTAAAACATTTTATTTAGAAACAGATGCTAGCTCAGGAGGTGTAGGGGCTGTTTTATCTCAGGAGGGAAGACCTATTGCTTATTTGAGTAAAGCTCTAAGCCCTAGACACTCAGCATTATCTATTTATGAAAGAGAATATCTTGCTATTCTCTTGGCTGTGTCTAAATGGAGGCATTATTTGGAAAGTGCATCATTTATTATTAAGACTGATCATGAGCCCCTAAAGTAGCTGGCAGGAATTCTATGGCTCATGTAATTAAATAATACTAGGCTTGATTGTAAAAATTTGCTTAGAAAATGAATGATGCAAACTTCTTCTGAAATCTCTCAATTCTTCTTCTAAAACCTATTTTCTTTCGACATTCTTCTCTACAAAAATCCAGTCTATAACACTTTCTGTAACCCACAGCTGCATGTGAGAAATCTCTATACAGTCTAATTGAAGTACTTTGTTGTAAAATCAGTTGACATCCTCAAGACAACATCGGTTGACAAATTGCCAACTGATCTGGAAGGAATGGAAGTAACAATGCAAAGACTGTTGGCTTTAATAGATGATATCTACAAATATGTTGATGGTGTTGTGGTATGCATATTAGCTCCATTGTATTTATTTTTGTCTCAGCTGCTGCCTTTTATGACATTCATTTACATTATCAGGAAGGGCATGTTGCAGCGGATAATAGCATTGGCAGATTTATATCAGATACTGTAGCAGCTTTACCTAAACTATCGCCTCCTGCTTTTGATAAGCTTGTAAATGACAGTCTGCAGGTAGGATTGAGTTCGATTTAATTTATAAATGTCATAACAATTGTGCTTTAAGTTAAGATCATATCTGTTGTGAAATCATATAAGAACTAATTCTTGAGGATTTTGCGTGCAGGATCAGTTGCTGTTGTTATACTTGTCGAGTATTACTAGGACTCAACTTGGCTTAGCAGAAAATTTGAACACAGCTGCTCAGAACCTGTGAAAAAAAATTTGTTCGTAGGCCAATCGTGCTATGTTGATTTTGGCTTTTATACTCTTGGGAAGGTTATATTATCTACGATTGCCCAGTAGTTAATGTAAGTTGTTTCTCCCTCTATCATTGAAGTCTGAATTAAATTTCCCTTTTACTTTATTATGAGAAAGATTCACTTTTTATTAACTTAAGAGCTTTTGTTTTCTTCTTCACCGATAAGCGAGTATAGCGTAAAACACCAACAGTTTACCTTCTTTTGTCCTGCATTCTTATGATCATGAATCATTCAAATATATGATATTGCATGCTAAACTTAATTTCTTGGAGGATCCAAAGGACAAGAGCATCGTAATCCTAAGTTCAATTACCTACCATCATATTCAGCAGTATAGAAGAAAACATTCAATTAGTAACTCCCAAGTTTAATTTATTCATTACATGTCAATTCAAATAATAATAATAATAATAATAATAATAATAATAATAATAAAGTATTGAATAACATTGTCGGAACCGTCTTTCGGGTGGGTCTGGAATTGGACTTCGACTTAGGAAATTGGGTTAGAGTCATCATCGATAATTTTAGGTAGATCGGATATCATCTTACCTGATTTACGTTTTACCAGAAATGTGTTGGGTTCGAGAGTCGGTTACGGTCAATGAATGATTAGAACTCTTGAACCGTCTTTTCGGTTCTAATTAATTTGTCGGTTGTCTTTATGGCAAAAATTTAAATTTAAATCTCGATTTAAATTACTTACCTTCGATCAATTAAGTATTCCTAAAGTCGAAAATATTATCATATTGTAAAATAAAAATAAATATGAAAAAAGAAAAAAATATTAATATAATAATAATAAAAAAGTAAATGCAATAAATAACAAAGATAAATAAAAGTTAGTAAAAAAGAGAAAAAAAATACTAAAATAATAAAATAAAAATCACAAAAATAAAAATCACATACACGTGGTTACCATTTTAAAAATAACAAAAATAAAAACCACATACACGTAGTTACATGAAGCAAATGAATATGGGTCCATATGCATGACATATTTAAAGGGTTTTGTTTTCGATAAACATGGCAGTAAGCATTACAACAGCTTTCTCAAATCTAAATCCAATGCCTAAAACATACTAGTAACCAAGCAAAACAATCCACCGGACCGATAAATACATCACAAATGCTGTTACCTTATAAATAATTTCTCCAAGAAGCATGGCTCCTTTTTTCTTCTCAGTGTCGCTTGCACCGTCTTGTACACCATCATCGCTTCGCCGGAGAGAAATATGAATCCACAGAAAATAAGAAATGGGTGAACATTGAAAACTCGAGAACCGTTGTATGAACCATACTCGATACCTCAGCGATAATGCAGCAACCAAACCAGCATGAGGATGAAAGCTAAACAAGTGAGCGAATATCGTTAGCCGAGAAGCCGAACGTCGATAATTATGCGGGACCGTTACTTGGTGACCAAAATGCATGATGATTGAAAACTCGGCGGATGAGGTTGATGTGCAGTGGAGACTGAACGTGGGGTGGAAAAAAGGTTGATTTTTGGGTGCGATTTGATGGAGTATGGAATCGGCAAGATCGCCATTGTTGGATTCCCTTCGGTTGTGCCCGGGGTCCTCCTTTCTTGGAGCTTGTCATTTGTTTTGTCTTCAAGCGGTGGCTCCACGTGCTCAAGACTTTGGTTAAGAGGTGCCAATTGCTTGTGGATTGAGGGGTTTGTGCAGCCTTGAAGTTACAAGGTTTAAACGAACACGGGTTAGGAGGTGGAGAATTGTAATGTAAATGTCGATATGCTATAGCTGGAGCTACTCGGCATGGTTCTTCGGTTGGGTTATCTCAGGTTCCGATGAGCAGCCGGCCTCCATTTCCTTTTCGAATACGATGATGGTAGGAATGGAAAACCGGAACGCCGACTTGAGTGCAAGCGTAGCATTCTATGGTGGTGGAAATCGGGTTGTCATCGTTGGTTTCGCGGACGCCATTATCAAAGCTCTCGCGGTGACAGCTTTGAAGCTGACAAAGTCCAATCCACAAAAAATAAATTTGAGGTAATCTATTTTCGTACTTGCAAAAGAGTGAGTGAAGAGATTGGAGCAGCTTAGCTAACTGCCGAAAAAGAGAGCCCCCCTCTCTGGACTTCTTGTTCTTGGTCTTTAAAACGTGAAACTAAGCATAACCAGTGAATCCATGAACGAAAGAACCGTAGTAAAAGTATGGGTTTTGTTTAGACGTGGAGGTGGGGTTGGTAACTAATTAGGTAGTGGTTTAGTGAATTTTTGAAGATTCGGACAAAAACGGATGTCTACAAAACTATATATTTTTGTAAAATATCAAAATTATACTTAAGTTATAGTTAAATGTGTAATATTATATGTGAACTTTAATGTGATATAATAATACACAATTTTAATTTCGATTTAATCAAGTATATTTTAAAAACAAATATGTCAATTTTTTTGCATTATATAAATATAGTTATGTATGTGATCTGTAAATATAAAATGATGCTACTTAGATAACGATTTTAATAATTTATAAAAATTGGATTAAATCAAAATTTAATATATACAAATTCATAAAAAATCGAAGTTATCATGTATCACGTTATACATTTGCTTAAAATTTATGTATAATTTTGATATATGTTTTTTAGAACAAACATCAATACTATACATGAACTTTGATCTAATGTACAATGTGATACATAATAATAATTTTAATTTTTGTATAATTATATATACTAAATTTTAAATTGATTCAGTTTTCACAAATCATTAAAATTATGATCGAAGTAACATCATTTTATATTTACATATAATATAATTATGTCAATTTATTTTTATATTATATAAATTTAGTTTTTTGATGAAATTATAAAAAACATAGTTATGTGTATGCAATATGTAAATGAAGATTGTGTTACTTCAATAATAATTTTACTGATTTATTGCATAAAAATTAAAGTTATTATGTATCATTTTATACATTCGATAAAAATTTATCTCTTCATATTATATTATTTTTTCATAAGATAAATATAAAAATTATACATGAACTTTCATCAAGCGTAAAACTGTGATATATAAATTTTGATTTTTTGTAATTAAAAAGATTAAGTAAATTTTCATATTATAACTCATATATTGTAGTGTGGCTCATGATGTATATAGTTAAAAAAAATTCATTTAAATTGGAATTAAATAATATCATACTATTATAAATATTTACAATCACATTTAAGCAGAAATTCGAAAATTCGGCTCGAAAAAGTTTCAAGTCAACTTCAAATTGTAAAATAAGACTCGTCAACTCGAATAACTCGAATTTTTTGACTCGACTCGATAAAATGGTTACCCCTACAAAAGATGATGCAAAAATGTGATTAATTTACCCTCTATAGTCATGAGATGAGTTGCATGCTCAATGTTTGTTGATTTTTATATGTTTCACTTTCAAGTAAACAAAAAATATTTATATATATATATACGCAATCATAAAAGATGACAGAGCAAAATAATAAAAAAATCGCAAAGATAAAACTCATAAAGAAATGAAGAAATTAGGAGAAATGAGTTCAAAAGATCAAGTCTTTTCAGTTCCTGCAATCTTTGCATGTATCTTCCATTTTCTTTCGCGATTACCTGGGTAACTTCATCTCTGCTTTTAGCAAAGATATTTGGTGTAACATCGGCTGAAATATGTGAGGGTCTAAATTTGGCCTAATCTTATGGTTTTGAGAGAATTACGGTTCTAATACACAATAGTGAAGCCTTCCACCTTCTTTCTTTCAAGTGCTTCGGCTCGGCTGAGAGTCAGGTTTGAATGTTTTCGGAACTTCGCATGGCATGTCGATTTCATCCTGGTGAAGAGGGAAGCGGATAGAACGGCCGATTAGCTTTTTTCTTGGAATAATGGTTCGACAGTAACTTTAAGCTCCCCGACGAATGACCTCGATCTCATTATCCATCATAGGGACATTAATGGTCCACCTTTCTTAACACTCCAAACGATTTTGCAATCCTTTAGCTTTGCTCCATTAAAAAAAATATAAGAATTTCCTAAAACACGATTGCATTTAAGATGAAAATGTATTGCATTACAACAAAAACATACAATCATAAGGTTGAGTCCGAAAAGCTAGATCGCAAATACATTAATTGGAAAGGAAACGAAACATGTGCGGAGCAAACAATGTTAAAGTCTAGTTCTGTGTCCGTTACATGCAAAACTGTTTCAGAAAACTTGAAGCCACTGTTCATTCACCTCTACCAATTTCATGGCAATGACTATATGGCCCTCACTCACAATTTTCCCTTCAACAAACCTCACCAGCCCAACTCTCTCCACCTGTTTGATCCTCGGCACTTCAGGCAGAGGGACCCTGGCTCTCCCCACCACCACCACGCCCGACGAAGGCCCCGGATCGACACTGGACCGCACCCTCACAACTTCCAGGTTCAAGATATTGGATTCCGATGTATCTAAATCAATCAGCCGGATCCCAAATTCTTCGTTCCATTCTATATTGGGATACCCTACAACTTCACCGGTCACGTAGTGCCCGAGAGAGTTAACCCAAAACACGGTTCGATAGTTCCTCCATTGAACTTCAGGGTACGAGCTCAGTGGATCGATCCCTTCCGCGTTGTAAATCGCTACTTGCAAAGCATGGTTTCTTGCAGCAGGATTTGGGACTTCTAACTTCTTAAATTTCTTGATCGGAACTGCTCGAATCAATCCGTTTTCTAGCTTGACTTCCTCCTTGTTCTTCATATCCATCTACAAAAACAATTAGTAAAAATCAATACAATATGGTTTCTTGGGCATCAAGAAAGAGCAAAAAACAAAGAAATCTCACTATGAAATTTACCCTCTAGTTTAGTATCAATGCAACCATGCTTGACCTCGAAGAAAGAAAGAAAGAAAGAAAGAAAGAAAACAAGAAAGATGAGGACGAAGAGGCCTTAAATTTTGTGTTAAGAGGAGATTGGGCGGCTAGTTTAATTATAAAGGTGATTAGGAAAGTTTACACAGTGAAGGAACTCTCTTTAAAATGCTGTATTTTCTCTAGGGTTCAGCGATATTATATAAATACAGTAACTGTTTAAGGACTTGGAGAACTCTAACTCAACTTCTTTATATCCAAATAAGTATATAGTATAAATTA